CGTACGAGATGAATTAGATGAACTTTTTAATTATCAAAAAAGCGAGTGTGCTTATGACCACACGACTGAAGTGAAACTTCTTTAGCTCCAATGATCTGAAAATCATAAACTTAACCTGAAGATTTGTTGATAGAAAAAAAACCACTAATCCGCGCTGGGTCCGTTATCACCCTCCAATTCGCACTGGGTCCATTATTACCGACCAATCCGCTCTGGGTCAGTTATCACCCATCAATCCGCACTGGGTCCATTATTACCGACCAATCCGCGCTAGGTCAGTTATCACCCAGGCAGCCGCCTCCTTCTGCGAGAACGTCATCTCGCAGAAGGAGGCGGCTGAGAGGGAGCGGGAGGATGATCCTCTGGCCGCTCCCTCCCGCCAAAGGAGGACGGGTAGGAGAGGACGGCGGCGCGCCCTGGCTGCGCCCGTCCCATGACCCTACCCGAGGGGTCCCTCGCTGACCGGCATGGCGATGGCCGTGCCGGCCACCGACGGACCCCGTGACGGCAGCCCCCCCCTTGTAGTTCTGTCCTGCAAAGAGGGGGGCGGCGGAGGGAGCTACACGGGCACGCCCAAGTAGCCCTCCGCAGCGGACGGGGGGGCGGTACGGTGGGCACTAGGCCGCGTACTCAGCCCCCGCGCGCGGGCCTACCCGCGCACGTCTGCGGGGTCCCCGCGATACCCCGGGAGACCCCTGCCGTGGAGCCCCGGCTTTGCCGGGAGGCTGCTAGGTGCGGAGACGCGGAGAATCCCTAAACGGGGATCCCGCGGCTTCGCGCTAAGCAGCTTAGAGGGTATTCGCAGGACTTTTTTAGCGGATATTATACCGTAAAGCGCCCGTAAGAGTTGCGGGGTCCTCGGTGGGCAGCCACTGGGGGGTTCGTAAGACTTGCGGGAGCCAGGTGTGAGGTCCGTTCGGCGGTGTGCCTCTTAAAGGCGCCGTCGTCTGTAAATAGATTTTTTACCTGCGTATTAAAAAAAAAAAGGTCAGTTATCACCCATCAATCCGCACTGGGTCCATTATCACCCACCAATCCGCGCTGGGTCCATTGTCACCAACATATCCGCGCTGGGTCCGTTATCACCCACCAATTCGCACTGGGTCCGTTATCACCCACCAATCCGCGCTGGCTCCGTTATCACCCACCAGTCCGCACTGGGTCCGTTATTACCCACTAATCCGCGCTGGGTCCGTTATCATCCACCAATCCGCACTGGGTCCATTATCACCCTCCAATCCGCACTGGGTCCATTATTACCGACCAATCCGCGCTGAGTCAGTTATCACCCATCAATCCGCACTGGGTCCATTATTACCGATCAATCCGCGCTGGGTCAGTTATCACCCATCAATCCGCACTGGGTCCATTATCACCCACCAATCCGCGCTGGGTCCATTGTCACCCACATATCCGCGCTGGGTCCGTTATCACCCACCAATTCGCACTGGGTCCGTTATCACCCACCAATTTGCGCTGGCTCCGTTATCACCCACCAGTCCGCACTGGCTCCGTTATCACCCACTAATCCGCGCTGGGTCCGTTATCATCCACCAATCCGCACTGGGTCCATTATCACCCTCCAATCCGCACTGGGTCCATTACCAACCACCAATCCGCGTTGCGTCGGTTATCACCCATCAATCCGCGCTGAGTCCATTATCTACCACCAATCCGCGCTGGGTCCATTGTCACCCACATATCCGTGCTGGGTCTGTTATCACCCACCAATTCGCACTGGGTTCATTGTCACCCACCAATTTGCACTGGGTCCATTATCCCCCTTCAATTCGCGCTTTGTCCGTTATCACCCACCAATCCGCACTGGGTCAATTATCACTCACATATCCGCGCTGGGTCCGTTATCATCTACCAATCCGCACTGGGTCCGTTATTATCCACCAAGCATTAGACTCATGTATTTTGTGATGGGTATTGTTCATTGTTTACCGCTGAGTCACAGGTTCGCGAGTAACGCAAAAATCTTCACACATTCGCCAGTTTACCCCCCAAGTCAAGCGTGCCTGAATAAGTTTCACTTGAATAAACTAGGTTATATTATTTTTAATTATTATTTGATAGGATTTCGTACCATATTAATATGCCTTCGTCTTCTGTCTGTCTGTCTTTAAAAACCTCTATCGCTATATCTCTTGAAGGGAAATAGGTAGAGCGCTATATTTGAGACACAATGCACGTTACTGGGGCCGCCATCTAACACAACACAAGCAGTGATCTAATCAAAATAAAATAAGAGTTTGAGTAGGTTTTACTTTGGAAATGTACCAAATGTAAATAGAATGACGCAGTAATATAATTTGGGAAAGTAAAGTATAGGGGCGTTCAGTGTATCCTCGGTACAAGCATGAAATAAAGAGCGGAAAATTCTGAACAAAATTTGATTTTTAATATATATGTATAGTCTCTCATCATCTCGATACACTTATTCGACAGGGAAAGTAACTTTACAATTCCCTCTAAAAAAATATTTCTTCTTTGTGTGAAAAATGTTCATAATTTGCTGCCTTCAACTTTTCATCGGCGGAAAAATGCTTGCCTCCAAGGGTTTTTTTTAAGATTTGGGAACAGAAAGTAACAAGGGGCTAAGTCTTGACGCATTGATGGTTGGTGAATTTTTGCACTAAACCCCGATTTCTGCTCTGCGGAGCAGAGAAACGACAAGGCATCTATGTAAGTACAGTGCATTTAGTATTACAATGGTGTCGATTCCGGCATGATTCTCTAAACTTAAAGCTAAATTTAACATCAGCCTCTCCTTTTCCCTCTGTATAGAGAATGACAAAGATACACTGTTGTCAAATTTAAGTTTAGGTTTAAAGAACCCTGCCAGAATCGACATCATTGTAGTAATAAACATAAAACTGATACAACATATGAAGAAGTGTAATAAAGTTGCGTAGGTTAATTTCTTTCGGCACTTTAATCCACAACTTTCCTGAAGTCTTCAAAGATGTGTTTTTATATTCTCGTACAATACAATAATGATAATTACTTTATTTTTCGTGGTATTTATTATAAATCATGTTTTTTTTATTATTATAAACTCAGGTTATTTTCTACGTGCTTAAGAGTTTTTGTTTACTACAGTTGACGTCATAGCATAGATAATAATCTATAGACTAAAATGGCCGACAGCGTTTTTGTATGTCCATGAAAAGTCTATTTTAAAATTTAAGAATTGTGGCTTTCTAGGTCTCAAAAAAATACAATACATTTTTTTTCGGTCTAATAGAACATTTATTAATCATTTAAAACCTTTTTCGAAAAAGGGTCAACTAGCCTATTACTTACGCAGGGTTTCTGCGTAAGATTCAGCAATAATACTTTGACCTTTTTTGTGTACTCAATTAGTAAGATTCCTTTATAATCCCAAAACACTGTGGCCATGAGCTTTCCGGCTGGCGGGATGACTTTGAACTTCTTCGGTAAGTCTGTTCCTTTTTTATGGCACTGCATGGACTCTTGCTTGCTCTCAGGGCTATAGTGATGAACCCACGTTTCATCACCAGTAACAATTCGATCGAAAATACTTTGCGAATTTTCACTATAGAGCTCCATAAACTCCTCGCAACAATCAACTTACACTTGTTTCTGAAACGCCGTGAGATTTCGCGGCACCCAACCAAACTTTTGACAAATTCAGATGCTCATGAAGGATAGTGTAAAAGGTATTCAGGGATAGCTTAGCCCTTTGTGTATTTTTTTTTCACTTTTACACGGGCATCTTCTAGTACAAGTTTCTCAAGGAAATTGACGTTTTCTTTAATAGCGGCACTAACCGACCTCCCAGCGCGAGACGTCTTAAATACTCTCTCTACCCCGTTTGAATTCACTTGACCACTTCTGAATTGTAGATAACGTTTTGTGAGTGAATTTTTCTCAGCGCACTGCTCGATTTTTTCTACATTGTCTTATCAGTTGTCTCATCGTTGTTGGCTTTACGTAATGAAATCTTGAATACTAATGTTGACAATTAAATGAAATTTTGTATGTACATCCTTAAAGAGTGTTATTAACTAATGAATTGATTTAATTACATTCATCATTAGTATCGTATCCCGATACTGACAATATATTGTACGCCCATCGTACGTCAAGTTAAAATCAACAGTGCAAAAGCAAAATCGCTTAAAAACTTTAGTATTTTACAGAAACGAGGGTGATAGTATTTTTTCACAAATAAATCACAACTCATTGTCAGAAGTAGCGCCGTAAAAATAAAAACATATTCAAAAAATAATATTTTCTAAATATCCTCCTATTAAAAAGTTACATAGTACCTTAACGAAGTAGATATCGCTTAAGTGAAAATGACTCGACCCGCCATATATTTTTTTGTCAAGCAAACATCAAATCATACTCCAAAAAGTAGGATGTAAGCGCAATTGGTTCAAAAACACCAAATTTTATGACGCTTCAGCTTTGTGAACAAAAAAAAATGAGTTGCTTAAGCGCCAAAAAAGCACTCAAATCTTCACGAAAAATAAACACATCGAGGCAGAAATAAAATCGGATTAAAATGATATAATATGTATAACTCATTTTCGACCAAGGTGGCGTATAAGCGATTTTGCCTTTCCACTGTCGAAATATACTTCCAACCTACAATCAAAATAAAATTTGAGTTAAGCTTTGGGAATATTTCCAGTGGAACAAAGCATGTAAAGTTCACGAAAGTGAGCCCACTATAAACTTTGTTACAGTATGACAAAACGTAGCTTCGTTCACATTACAAATACATCGAACTTTAAATAGACCAACATCTCCGACATTCACAGTAACGCGTACACCAATGTAAGTGTAACGAAAGCTCTATCGTCGTTTTTCGTTTTGCTTCTGTAGTAACTTTGAAAGTTCGTTTTGTGTTCACCGCTGTTCTGAGCTCGAGTGTTGAAACGGCCTAAAGGTAGAGCATCGGTGTAGGTTGAAAGAATGCGTTTGAACGTTTCGGTTGATTTGGTAGGCAGGCGCGGGTGAGCTTCGGGCTCGGTGGAGCTTCAGAGGGGCGCGGGCGTGCCGCGGCCCGCTTGCCCGCGTGCTACAGGCGTCAGGCACACAGACAGTGCCTTAGCAGGCGCGGCCGAGATCGCGCGCCCGCACCGCCCGCTCCACAGACATGCGCTGCGGCCCGAGCCGATGACACGCGCGCGTGTGATTCCTCCAAATTGCCACCTTTTCCATTCTGCTCCAGACTGCCGCCGACATGGGCTGCACCAGGGAGGTCTGCACCGCTGACAAGATATTCATATTTATCAACATCGCGTTCGCTGTGAGTTGCACATTTATTACTCACCCGTCAAACATCCCTGTGGCTTTCATCGTGTTTCACTAAATTATGAAGAAATTTAAAAAAATGACGAGTTTCATAAATACTGTATTAGGTACTATGAAGTTAGAAAACTTCATTTGTGTGTGTATATATAAATATATTTATTTAATAAACCAAAAAGCAGGATTACTGAGATGTAGAGTCGCTCAGTGTTTACAGAAGATAAGAACAATAACACGCGAAAATTTATTGATGTGATAACACGTTTTAAAATTACCGACGATAGTACGCATTTGCTTGTTGGTATTATTAAACACAGTTTGATGTTCTACGAGCTTATTAGAGGTGATGTGAACTTCTGTTATGGGCAGGGAGGGATGCATGCATGCATTCAACTAAACGAAAGGACGGTTTTTGCGACGGATAAAAAATAACAGCCCATTCTTCACTACCTGCTCTAACCGTAAATAAAAATAAAGGGCTCTCCCAATAGAGTATCGTGTCACTGGAAGCTGATTAACTACTGAAATTGGGTCACGTTATCACTCACGCATGTCAAATTTTAATACGCTCGCTGTTAGTAAAGCGTCATATTTACATAGAAATTGGTCACAGATACAGTTCCTAGAAATAACCACTTTAATGAATAATTTTATAATTCTAGCCGATTCCTGATACTTGCAATAATATGAATCCTATCTTTAAATCCCTATTACACTACTCTTTTTCGCGATTTAGACGGAGAAAATTTTATCAGACAGATTTACTTTCGCAATTTGTAAAATTACTAGGTAGGTAGGTATCTTATCTATAGATATTACGAGGTTTAGGCTTGGTTTAGGTATCATCCACCAGTCATACAGAGTAAGTGGAATTAACAATTTATTGTTAAACTATAAACTGAACTAAAAAAAAAGCTATTAAGTATGTATTTGTAATTTTGTGCACTCATGAAATCATGCTGCAGGAAAAGGTAATTTTCGTCCCACGTAGAATACGAGGAAACTCGCATGTTCAAACCACATCATAATTATACCTAATACAATAATTCGTATCCAAATTATTAGGATTTACCTATAACTTGGTCGTATCAAAAAACCTTGAAATTCAAATTGCGGTATTCGTCACCTTTTACGTTCCACTCAAGATTAGGAAGGAATGCATTCCCAGAAACATTATATTAGTACAGCGCCACCAATATCTTGTGGCACTTTTATGACATTGACAGGAGGGCGCTGATCGTGAATAAGTAGTGAAATGAGGATTACTGAGTACGTAAAATCTCTTCACTAAAGGGAACGTTGGAATGAAAAGTAAATCGGAAAAAGTAATAGGCTTATTAACACGTTCCTCTTTAATTATAAGCCTTATTTATACCTTCTTCAAATTATATAGTTCCTATTTCGGCCACGCGCCTCGAGATGTTGGTAATACTGTATAGGAGAGCCTTTGTTTGGGTGTCGCGTCCCCTCGAGTTGCGCGCGCGCCGCACCCGCCACCAGGGTTGGATTTTGTACTATAATTATAGTATTTATACTATAATTTCGCCTTTTGTACTATATACTATCCACATCTCAGGATAGTACGCTTAAATACTATAATTTAAAGTTTGCTCCCGAATGCTTAGTTTTACGTCATATTATGAATATTTCGACCGTGCTTGTATCCAACCGAATTCTGATCATGTGATGTTTTCTGTGTTGATGGCCGGGGATTCCTGATTATCCTCCGCAGTACACTTCTTTATTTCCCCTTATCTCGTTCCTTCCATTCCATTCGAAATTCAATCAAGTTTGCTCAATGTTTTAACAATCACTTGCGAGTTTTTATGTAAAACAATATATTTTCAGTGTTTTAATTATGGAAAGTGGCATCAAAAGCGGTGGTAAAAGTGGGAATTGTACTGATTTTATTCCTACTGAGGATATATGGATGGAATTAAACGCCAAGGATGAAGATAGAACTAATAGTAATATTCAAGAACTCATAGACTTAGAAAAGGAGTAAATATTGCCCTATCGGGTGTTGATTTTATTGACTATTATATGTTAAATTAAAAATAATGAAAGTGTACTATATTTTTTTTATAAATACTATCCTTTTCATTTTTTTGTGCTATCTTTTTCAACGTACCTTAATCCAACCCTGCCCGCCACCCGAGCGTCTGAGTTGACCGGTCGCTCGGTGCATTCACCAATGAAATTGTTTCTGTGGTTTGGTTCCACTCCACCGATCACGTTCAAAGTTTCAGCCAAATTCGACGGCATGGCAATCAGTTTGTAATAACTTCCGCTGTTTTGTTATCAAAACTAGGTACCTAAGACTAGGTAGTTTTTCTCAGTTCGTTGCAATACTAAATGAGATATTTTAGGAATTTGTTATACCTATCTTGCAATAGGAACAAATATTACGTTATGTACGGGATAAAATCAAAATACATTAGAGACTGTATAATATTATTGCGTCTCTTTACGGGCGACACGGTATCGCGTCCGTATTGCTGTTTATCTATTTATTTATGATAAAAATGTGAAAAATAAAGAATCGTTGGTTTGCACGATTACGTATGTTACTAAAAATGCTTCAACATGTGATCGAACGTCATTGAGATGCGTAAACATGATTCCGATACCGGTTCCTACTCTGGCACACTGACACCGCAGCCCGCAGCGCAGCCTTCGTCCGTGGAACGCTGCCGTCCGTCCGCACCAGTGTTGCCAGGTCTCCAGATTTTACAGGAGATCTCCTGTTTTTCTGAAATTTCTCCTGTTCTACTGTTTTTCTACATGAATCTCCTGCTTTTTAGAATACGATTTTCTTTTTTAAATTGCATGTTGAGTTGCATTTCATTCATTAATAATGTAGATAACCTTAATAATTATAAAATAAATGTAATTAAAAAAAATAGCTTTGAGGGGCGGCAGAAGCCACAGAAACACATTCGTTATTGGTCTTTATCTTGATTTGATTTACCAATTCTAGGGGGGGTGGGGATGCAAATCGGAAAAATACGCCTCTGCATCTACTGTTTTTCTTGTAGCTCTTTCCATTAATCTCCTGTTTTTTTCTATAACGACTCCCGATTTTTGAAAATCGGACCTGGCAACACTGGTCCGCACTCGGTAGGGTCATTGTCAGGTGCAATGCCGCTTCCATCATTTATCTCGTAATCAACTAAATCACGTTATTGTTTACTCGACTATCATCCATGCCAAGGCGAACAATTATTAGTTTTTTTTAAAGATATATTTTTATTTAGCTCTGCTATACCTAAATCAACATTAACTGATATGATATGGCGTGAGTGAGCATGAATAATGATAGGTGCAGGTGTCACAATTGACACTCGATCCAAGTCTACATAGATATATGATGATGATGTATTATGAAAACATAACATACATACATACATACATCATATTATATTTAATTAGTTTCATTTATGCAGAAGCAATAACTTGTAGAAACTGTTACAAAACGTGTTTTATGGACAACGCATGGAATACCAATCCCAGGAAAATTTGTTTACGTGACTATTGAAAACAATTTAACTCACTTACGTACGTGTACGTGTAGTGTACGTGCGTTGCTTTATGACTTGATCCCCAGTCACTATTTGATGAGTGTCTTTGTTGTTTGTGTTTCTAAATCTGAGGGCATAATGCACCAAAAGATCCATTGTTTTCTGCATACAACTCTGCCCAATTTTTGACCTCAAGTATTATTATGCATTTATTTATTTTATTTATACTTTAATGCAAAGAACAGCAAATGGCGGACGTAATGCCATAAGGCATTCGCTACTAGTCGACCAATAAGAGCGTGAGAAAGAAAACTACGGGGGGTGAAAAATAAGGACATATTAAATAAACCAGGGGGTCAATTGCCTAACGGGATTCTATGGCTATCGCTATCGCTTACGATTACATTTTGTAATTTCTGGCCACCGAAGGTTTTTTTTTAAATACTTCACGCTCAATTTCTCTGATATTCTTATTACCAATGCAAAAGAAAACAACGAGCACGACGCATTTGAAAACCTCCGGCCGTCAGAAATAACAAAATAAAATCATAAGCGATAACGATAGCCATAGCAATCTCTTTAGGCGATTGGCCCCCAAGTGATATATATAAATAGAATACACACATATTAAAATATATATTCAATACATACATATAAATATACATATATGTTATATCTCTAATACATACATAAATATACACATAATTATGCCAGTCAAATATGAGAACGCAGATTAATTATATGCTAGGAACTTTACTTATATTAGGGGTTATGCTAGGAGCTTTACGTATATATATTATGTGTAGAAAAGAACGCCGAATTCATCAAACATTTAAATGGAGTTTATTATCCACTTGTACTACAATAAAAATGTCCGTCAACCATTTAAATTAATGGCAACACGGATAATATATTATTTTAATTATGTTAATAATTTGTACCAATCTACAAAATTGGGTAAAAATCGAAGGTCTCCTTTGGAAAACGTAACGCCTGGTATTACTCACGTTACTAAAATCTCAATACGTCACATCAAAGGTTTCGGAAAGCATAGACACAGATTCACAATTCTATACTTACCATATTCCTTCAATAACAAAATAAATCTTACAATAAAACGTCCAACAGTAACGCATCGATAGTGTACACGGATACAAAAAAAAAACATAAATTTCAGCGTTTATATCATCAATAACATACATTCCATTTGAAGCAATGCCTTAACGTAGTATTCTTGATCCACATTGCCAAATTTCAGCTTATTCAGTAAAGAGGACGGAATTATGCAAAAGCTGTTGACAATGTGGATCAAGAATAACCTTTTAAGAATTGCTTAAAATGGAATTGAGGTTATTTGAGTTTTATGTTTTTTTATCTGAGATAAATAGAGACAGAGAATAGTCGTTTAAGGGCTTAGAGCATTTATACGTAAATGCTCTAAGTTTAAGTGTCAAAATATAACAGTATCATCAGATGT